AAGTTTTCAGAACAAATTTAACTAGGTAGAACTAAACAAACAATTCTTTGTTATTATTATTACATTTTATTTTTCTTCTATAACAAAATTGAAATAAAAAAAAAAGAAAAAACTAAAATATTAATTCATTGCAAATTTTATTCCTGTTGATATCGTTTTATTTTTCAAACATGTCTAATTAAAATTCACAACCATAAATAAATGGATTTATTTTGACTTTAACGTAAATCACTCCCCGAGGGGTATCAGAATGTAATAAAATTTGGAAATTTCAAACGATTTTAAGCTTGACTAATGTGTCAACTTGATTTTTATATTATAAAAACATTCATCATGTTCTGAAAATTTAGGTATAAAGATATTTTTTCATATTCATGGAAAATAAATTTTTAATATTATTACAGTCGAGTAAAGGAAAAAACAAAAAAGTAAAAAGGTGGTTTCTATTTGGTAGGCATTTAGAAAATCGTTCTTTAGTTTTTATTTTAATACTGAAATCTCAGCTCTAATTTAGTACTTTTCTTCAACTCACTCTTCTACTATATCTACTACTTCTTTTACAATTTGATACGAAAGTTTTATATTTAATATTTACTTTTTAATAAATATTAAATTTATCTGTATAATGATGTAAGGTTGGAACTAAAAAAAAAATTGCAGTATGTATTTTGTGTAACGAAAAGCAAATGATTGACAGAGGTTGTTAAACGACGTTTTTATCATCTCCGTCAGTGAGTTGCAGAACAAATATCATATCTAATAAGTTTTCTCCAAGAGTTCACCTCTCGAGGGAAGAAGAAGAATAAAACAAGCCCAATTTCTAACCAACGTTAACTATCCCAAGAGAACCCTCTCGTTGATGACTCGTCGTTTCTAAGGAATTATGATACACAACCAACAAAATAATATCGAAATTACACGTTCATAATCATGTTCCAATTGAGAGAACATACATACAATAATAGGGTTAACAGAAATTTTTTCATCTAATATTATAGATGATATTACTAAGAAATGACAAAAAGTTTTACACCAAATGATTTAGTACCTAATAAATTTACTATCAATTTATAACATTTTATTAATTATTAGTACAATTTTACTAAAGATTAGTCATATTTCATTAACCAAAATCGGGAAAAGTTGTCCATAAAAAATACCAACAATTGAGGGTCCCTATCAAAGAACCGGTTATAAGTTTTTGAAACTCAAAATTCTCGACCTCTAAATAAAAAAAAAAATTTTTAATTTTAATTTCTTGAAAACATTTTGTATTGGTATAAAGATTACCCAAATGTTTCTCAAAAAATTGGGATTAAAAACAGTTTAATTTTTTATTTAGGGGTCGAGAATTTTGAGTCTCAAAAACTTATAACCGGTTCTTTGATAGGGACCCTCAATTAGTAAAATTTCAAGACTGAAAAAAATGTGATAAAAATTGGGATATTTGAGTAATTGACTTTATGAACATCGACTGATTAGAAGAAACATTCAAATCTATTAATAAATTAATAATATTCTATTTTAATATTTTTTTAAATGAATTAATGAATATTAAACAAAGTAAACTATAATTAACTATAATAATTTGAATGTTCTTTCATTCATTCACTTTTTGTTCACTTTTTCTGTCTCTCACACTCTGAAGTTGTCTTTTGTTTATACTTTTGTTTTTTGTTATCTTTAAATAGATTGTATATTATGTTATAATTATTTTTATTTTATAATTAATTCAAAATTGTTATGACAAATAGAAATCATCAGAATTTATTTTCAATTCTTTTCATTAATAGACTAAAATTTTGTTAAATATTATGTTTTGGACAATTGAAATTAAGCAGATTAAATTATTTTTTATGAAAATAATTGAATTCCCGTGAAATTTTTATTATTTATGAAAATAATTAAATGTTTAAACAACCGCCATTTTATTATAAATTAATTATATTATTACGATTTATAAAAATTTATTATTTATGAAAATAATTGAATTCCTGTGAAATTTTTATTATTTATGAAAATAATTAAATGTTTAAACAACCGCCATTTTATTATAAATTAATTATATTATTACTAATTATTATTTAAAGTTTAATTTTTTAAAAATTTCATCGTCAAAATCACTTTAATTGGGAGACAGTACAAAGTTTTTCGAATAATGAAAAATACTTTTTTTATAATTTCAAATACATGCAGTAAAAAAAATTGACTACCATTTTTTATTTACAAATAAAAATAAAACCTAAACTGTCAGTGATTTCTGCTCATTTATGTTAATTTTTACTATTTTCGGAGTATAAATTTTACTACGATCAAAGTACATCTTACAAATTTTTACTACAATTAACTTCCAAGACAGGTAAAATTTACTCATCCGAAAATAGTAAAAATTGACAGAAATGAGCGGAAATTACTGACAATTAAGGTTTTAGTATAAATGTATAGTAAAAGTTGCTTTATTCGTTTTCTTCGTGTCAAAAAGAGAATTGCAAAATATTTTTACAAATTTTTTAACTTTTCTTATTATTATTAAATTAGTAAAATAAAATAAGAAGTTCAGTTGAATTTTTACTAAGTATTATTCAAAATTGTTTAAAACAATAACAACAAAATTATTAAAAATTGATATTTATTGTTTATTGTAAAAAATAATTGTTTGTCTATTTATTTATGAAATAAATTTTTCAATTATTGAAAACAATTATTTTTTTAAACAATTCTTGAATAGCACATATATCAAATTTCACTGATTTTCTCACTTTATTTTAAAATAAATCTTTAAGATTGAATTAATAAAAATGTTTTGCTTTCAAATTAGTAAATTTTACTGAAAAATTAGAAGAAATTATTATTTATTAGTAAAATGTACTAATTTAGAAGCAAAAAATCAGTCACTAATTCAAATTAATAAACATTTTACTAATTCAAATTTAGAGAGAAAGATGAAAAAATATACTAGTTACCAACTTTTTCTATGATTCACCTAAACAAATCTTTTTTAAAATCAATTCTGCATTTTATTGATTTTAATGTAAATACAAAGAAAAATAAAATATAAAATGATTATTTAAACAATTGTTTTAACAATTTATTATTCTTTATAAACTTTTTAAAAAGGACACTTAAAAATATGCAAATTTTGCATAAATTTATAATTTATTGAGTTTTATATTTTATATACATATTTATATTGCTTAAACAATTAATTAAATAGGGTAAGTGCGGGTATAGTCGGACAGTACTAGTAGTCGGACACTTTCGTGTTTTTTGGCAAATAAATAATAATGCATTGTGATAATTACTTTAAAAAGTATACTAGACGAATGTGTGAAGTTTATATTTTATTAGAATAGTGTTATTTTCGAAAATAATTAAACAAGAAATATTTTATTTAATGTTTTAAAAATCATGGTGTCCGACTATAGATACAACCATTTTCGAGTAGCGCGATGAGTGGCACAAAGTTTTGTTGATAATTAATCATAAATATTAAAACTTATAGGGTTTAAATATTATATTAATAACTTCTAATATGCTTTAATTCCATTTTCCAGCAGATAGCAATTAAAAAATTATCTTTTTTACTTTATAAATTCAAAATATTTGACAGATGTCCGACTATAGAAACAAGGGGAAAAAGTGTCCGACTACTAAAGCATTCGTAATTTTTTATTAAAATGTTTATATTTTATTAAATACTCAACTATTTGTAACAAATTTATATGATTTTTAATCCTGAAGAACTCCTTTAATTAATAATGTGCTTATAAACACAGTAGATATTTGCTATTTCAAGAAAAAAAGCATAATTTAAGATTGTATCCTTAAGTGTCCGACTACTAGTGCATTTACCCTACAATGATTTGATATTTTTTTAATATCTAAATGGTTTATAAGATAATTAATATTGGTTTATTTTTTTCAAAAATACGCTATTTTTCTGAAACCAATTTTTAAAGCAGTGATTTGACATTTTTTTAAAACTAATAACTAATAAATAATCATTTTTTTAATTTATAAATAATTAATACAGTTATTATAAATTTACCTACGCACTGAAAAAAATTTATTTGATTTGAATAATTTTGTCTATAGTCGAGTAAATATATTTATTTTTATCAAGTAATTTGGATTTTAGTCAATTAAATAGTATACTTGCTTTCAAATATTAAAATTATTGGTTCAAATACTATTTAATTGATTTAAATAAAAATTATTAGTTTCAATTAAATATTTATTTGATAATAGACAAGTATTCAGTTACCTGTTTGAATCAAATAAATCTTCAGTGTAATAGTGAAGAATGAAATTAAAATTTTCTCATTCTTTTAAATTTTGACTATGATTTGGAATTAATTAAAAAAAATCCTATTTTGATTAATTTGAAAATTTCCTCTCTGGTAAAAAAAAACCTTTAGGCATACATTTGAATAGTACAAAAAACAATTCTTTTGTTACCTTAGTAGAAACATTATTTTAGCCAGTTGTAGAGTCGCTTTGTCTTGAAAAACATTATATATTGTCTAAAAAAAATAGAAAGAGAGAATTATTTGGTTTCGAGAAACATTGTTTTGTGTCTAGAAAAACATTTTTCCATTTCGTTGTTCACGTTTGTTGTGAAGAAAATGAAATTCCTCTTTTCCAAGAGCATCACTTTTTAATTTCTCTCTTTTATGCTCTCCATTCTTGTTTAGATTTTGAACAGAATGTAAATTTTCGAATGGAGTTGTTTCATGTTTAACGTGGATACTAAAAGGCCTGAAGTAAATTTACTTAGTAGTTGAAAGTATTTTCATTAGGGAAAAGTCTCAAGTAAAAGACAATCGGGTTTTGGAGAAAAAGATAAAGGGAGAGAGAGAGAGAGAAAGAGATTGAAAAAGTACAAACTGGTGTAGACCATGACAAAAGAAACGATGGAAGAGAGTAAACGAGATGGTAAAGAGTGCTTGGAAACTGTTTTTTTTTTATTTTTTTAAAAACCAAAAGCTCTTTATTTTCAGGTAATCTATCAGTATTAACAAGAAAAAAAAGAGGGGGAGAAAAAACTAAAAAAAACCCAATGCACAATGTCTATCAAGCATCCAATTCGGACCTCGGAACATTACCAAAAGTGCAACAAACAATTTTCCATTGTGATTGAAGTGAAAAAATATTTGAAAATTGCATAACAGGAAAAAATATGCTTTTTCAAATGATCTAGTGAAATTTTTCTGAAAGAGACAAAAAAAACAATTTGTAATAATTTGAATTTTCGTACAAATCGTTAAATTCGAGGCGCGGATATAACACATTGAAATGAAATTCTTGCCTATTAAAATTGGAATGGCCAAGTGAAACATCGACCGTTTCCTGTATGTGGTGAATAGAATTGTTGGTACGGATTTGCTGAAATTTAATCGTCTACATCAACACGAATCGTATATATATATATTATTACCCTTAGGAAATTATTAGTATTTGCCAAGTGAGAAGAAATTTTTTTTTCTTTCTTTGACATTTTTAAGTTTTAAATCGTGTGAGTGATTATATTGACATATTATAAAGATAAGGTGGTGGAAAAAATTAAAGAGTATCAATAACCAGAATTTGTTGAGTCGAAGTGTCGTTTATCTTTTTTTTAAAAAAAGTTTTCGTTTCAAGAAAAGGAATAAGGAAAGAGAACTATAGAGAAGTAACTCTAATGTTTCTCAACGACATGGGACCGTTAATGTTCTTAGCACTCGCGGCCTCCCTCTTGGGTTACTGCCAAACAGATGAAAAAGGTAAGGTATAACCCATAAGTCATGCACATAGCTTAAGAATTTCAAAGTTTTTGCCCTTTGAATGTAGATCAGACTTTTTGTTTTTCATCTTTGGGGGCTGAAAAAAAATGGTCACTTGTCGAATCTCAAGTTTTTATTATACCAAAGATGTTTTCTTTCATTATATCTATAGAACTCGTAAATTTTTTCTTTTTTTCTTTAAAAATACTGTTTTTTACATTCATCATGTTTTAGAAATTTTTATTCTTATTAATGTATTTACGATTTCGAATCATTTTTCTCTTTAAATTTTGAATAAAAATAAGTTTTTCAATTAGAAAAAAGTTGAATTGTAGAATTGAAATTTGAATTAACTTTCTGCTTTTGGATTAATTAAATTTTACACACAATTAATAGAAAAAAAATTCACTTATTAAGTACAAAATTAATTATTACTTTGTATTTTCAAAATTAATTCATATTTTCAAAAATTTTAATAAAATTTCAGGAAATAATTCAATTATTTTTTAAAATTTTAATAAATCCTTCTAAATAATTCAATTATTTTTTAAATAGTAAAATCTTTACAAAAATTCAATGAGTTTCAAAACAATTTTAATTGAATTCCTCGGATGAATTCAAATATTTTTAAATATTTCCATAAATTTCAATTATTTCCTAAAATTTTAATAAATTCTTCGAAACAATTCAACTATTTTTATAAATACTAAAATTCTTTGCAGGAATTAAATTATTTTCAATCAAATTTAAATAAAATTACATGAAAGAATTTAATTAATTTTCAAAAATTTCGATAAAATTCAATTTCAACAAGAATTTAAAATTCTCTAAAAATAAGTAATTCAATTATTCTCAAAATATTTTTAAAAAAATCTATAAAGTTAAATTACTTTCAATGCAATTTTTAAATATATTCGTCAAAAAAATTGAAAGAATTCAATTATTTTCAAAAAGTAATAAAATTCTTGTGATGAATATTCAATTATTTTGAATATACTTAATTTTATTAAAATTTTAAGAAATAATTAAATTTTCGAAACAACTTTAATTGAATTTCTCGAAAAAATTTCATTATTTTCAAATATTTCTATAAAATTCTTCATAAAAATTTAATTATTTCTTAAAATTTTAATAAATTCTTCGAAACATTTCCATTATTTTTATAAATAGTAAAATCCTTTGGAGGAATTCAATGATTTTCAAAACAATTTTAATTGAATTCCTCGGATGAATCCAAATATTTTTAAATATTTCCATAAATTTCAATTATGTCCTAAAATTTTAATAAATTCTTCGAAACGTCTTGTAATTTTTAAAAATATTGGAATACAAAAAAATACTTCATTTATTTAAACGTTCAATACTTTCGACATCATATAAAATGCAAATTACTTTTACATATTTTTATAATGTAAAAAAATAACTGTTGTCAAATATTTAAAAACTTATTTTTACTTAATTTTTCTATAAGATTATTAAATTTCCGAAAAATATGTCATTAGAAAGTTTTTAAATAATCGAAATTTGGAAAATTTTAATAAAAATAATTGATTTTTTTAAGTAACTCATTAAAATTATTGTAAAATAAAATTTTGAAAAATTTTAATTGCAAATTTTTGAAACAATTGAATTTTTAAAAATTATAATGGAAAATCAAATAGAATATTAAGAAATTATTTCGAGAATGTAATTCTTAGAATTTTTTTTATTATAATTTTTTAAAATTCAATTATTTTCAATATTTTTAATTACATTTTTTGAAAATTAAAAATATCTACAAAAAATAATTACATTAGAATTTTTTTAAAAATTATATTACCTATTAAAATTTTGATGAAAATAATTATTTCTAAAATTTTTAACTAAAATTCTTCTAAAAAATTGATTAGTTTTTTAAATTGTTCAACAATTCTTTAAAGAAATTAAATTATTTTTGAAAAGTAACATTACAATTATTTAAAAAAAGTTCATTCAAATTTTTAAAAATGTGCTTTATTAAATAGACTAAATAATTAAATTAATTAATTTATTCTAAATGATTAAGAGTTTTTAAAAAAGTCATGTATTTTTACATTTGGGCAATTAAAATTCTTCAAAAGTTTCACAAAATTTTTTACTAAATTTCAATTATATATTTATAATAAAAAAATCTAATATTATTCAAAAATTATTTTAAAATATTTTTTAAAAACACATTTTAGAACCTAATCTTTTTAATATATAATTTTTTAAAAATTAATTATTTTCAATATTTTTCGTTGTATACATTTTCAATATAAATTATTCACCTTAATAACATTATTGAATAAAATAAACGACTTTTCGACTTTTTTTGCTCCTTAAAATCAATCTAAGGCATGTAATTAATATTTAAAGTTGTAAATAATAAATAAATAATATAATAATATAATTAATAAATTATTAAAAAGTCGTTGACCAATTTAATTTACTAATTAATAATTTCAATTTTAGTCATAAAAGATTCACATTGTACTCTTTTATTAGTTAAATTATACTGATAAATATTTAAAAATTCTAATTATTAGTTAAATTTTAACTAATTTAAAAGCAATATATCAGTTACTAATTCAAGTTTTCCAAAATTTTTTGCAATTCAAATTTAAAGATAAACGACAATTAATAAATAGTAAAATAATAAAATTAATAAACAATAATAAATTAGTGAAATGTCGTCGATTAGTTCTTACTTTTCTACTTACTAATTACTAATTACTAATAACTAATTTGAATTTTAGTCGTTAAACTAAATATTACACATTTTCCTTTTGATTTAAATTTAAATTTTAAGTTTTTTAACATTTACTCTCTAATAATGAATTAGTGTAAATTTATCTACCAATTTAAATTTTTCGAAATAAGAAATCCAGTGAACAATAATCCAAAAGAGAATTCAAGGTTTTTAAGGTTTTTAAAAATATCTTTAAAAGCTAAAAACGAGAATTTTTGTTGTTAGTCTAGAAGTTTGTTATTTTTTCAGTAATTTGGTAAAATTCTCTGTTATTTTCCAGATTTCCCTGACTAATTTTATCTTCCTTGATTTTTCCCTAAACTGTGGAAACCCTGCTTTAGGAATATATAATATATATATAATTATTGATCCAGCTCTGCAATTTGTCAGATCAAACATTCTTAATTTTCTAAACTTGATCTTCAAACTGCAATGGATCAGTAGACTTTAATAATTGCTCAATTAACTCGAAGGTATTAAATTGACGCTTCAATCAAGCGTATAGTTTTTTTACTGTACAATTTACTAATTTCAACCTAGACATTTTTTTAAAAATAAAATTAAAAACTATACGTGGAAATAAAAACGAAAATGCTAAAAATACAAAAATAAAACTTCAAAGTAAATATTTTCCAATTAAATAAACAAAGTTATAAATTACAAATGCAGAAAATATGCAATTACAAAATGAACCTTTTGTATTAATTAATTCCTACTAACATATGTATGAAATAAAAGTAAAAATCTACATGCTGTATACTTTTTAATTATGAAAAAATATCGTGTTTGAAAGTTATACATTGGATAAATGTATTATATTTATAATCATTTGAATAAATCACGATTGTTGTTCAATTTTTCGTACATCAAAATAATTATTATTTATTTATGTGTAAACGGGCTGAAAAAATAGAAAAAAAATTGTTCGTTTGAATACAATTTATATATTTTTTTAATCCGCATTAATTAAGGGTTCTTAATTAAGGGCATTAATTAACCATCTTTTAGTTTTGCACATTAAAAATTAATAAATAAATTTTGAAGGGTGCGTTGAAACAAAGCATTAAACATTAAGTCTTTTTAGTTTTTTGCATCAAAATTTTGCGCTTTTCTGTTCTATTTTACATACCTTCACAGAAGAAACAAAGTCTGAAACTGTTTACATCTTAAAACCAAAATTAATGAAAAAGGCTAATTTTAAACTTAAAATTAGATTATGTCAATTTTAGGACTTAAAATCATAATCTAAAGACTAGAATTCCATAAAAAACGGTTCAAATATAAACGGTTTTAGTCAAAAGTATAGGCGTAATGTATTATCTTATTTCCTCTAACAAGTTTAAATATCATGTTTGCCACAGAGCCTGGAAATCCTGGAACACAATTTTCATAAGTAGATGAACTTCAAAAAGTTTTAATATAAAATTTTGTAAAATTTCCAATTTTGAATGAATTAAAATGGAAATAAAAAGAACGTAGATTTTTGAAAAGATTAATAATTCAAATTCTTCTAAAATTAGTTAAATTTTTTTAAAAATATTTAATTGATTATTAAAAATAATATGTATTTACAGAAGAATTTTAGTTTATAAATCTAAAAGAAATTGAATTTTAAAACAATTACAAATGATTCCAAAAATTCAATTATTTTTAAAAGTATATTAAAATTTTTTTCTGAAATTCAATTATTTAAAAAAATTTTAATAAAATTCTTATCAAAATTTCAATTATTTTCAAAAACTTTCCTCATTTCAATAATTTTTAATATTTACTACTTTAATAAAAATTCCTAAAAGAATTCAATTAAAAAAATGTAATAAAATTCTACTCAAACATTTAATTATTTTAAAAAAATAATAATAATAATAATAATAATAATAATTTTTTTTATTTTTTTTTATTATTTTAATTATTTTATTTTTAATAAATTATTATTCAATTATTTTCACAAATAATAAAATTCTTCTTTGGAATTCAATTATTTTTATAAAATAATAAAACTCATCCCAGACTTTCAATTACTTTTAATATAATTTTAATTTAATTCCACGAAAAATTTAATTATTCTTAGAAACTTTATTAAAATTCATCAAAGAAATTCAAGTATTTTAAAAAACTTTGCTACAATTTATTTATTAGAATTTAAGTATTATTTTCAATACTTTTTTAATTAAATTTCTTCAAAGAATTAAATTATTTTCAAAAATTTTAATGAAATTTTTTGTAACAATTTAATCTTTTTCAAAATAAT